CGGCGGTCCCAGCAGCCACGAAGCTGGAATGCTCAGCCAGCCGGAGGCGCACCCAGCCGATGAGCACACCCGGCACCCCAGGCTCACCTCCACCGCGTGTGTGAGCGTGGCGTTGTACCCCAGGACGAACAGCCGCTTGCTGCTCGCACTGTAGCCCCGCACCACCTGGGTTGAGTGGAAAGAACAGTTGCCGGCGATGGCGTACGCGCGGTGTGTCAGGCTGCAAACAGAACTGAGCAGCGTGGGACGCAGCAGGCAAAGGCAAGACATGCAAACACCAAGCAGAACCGGTATGCACGCGCCACAAAACGCTCGACAAGGCTGCTGATGCCGGCCCTGCTCTGCTGAAGGCAACTCTGCTCGCCAGACAAAGATCAGACGAGTTGACCCAATTCAACCGAGTTTGACCGAGTTTGACCACGCACCTCCTCCAGGTTGAGGTCGGGCGGCGTGTGCCTCAGGCGCAGGTCAGCCTCGATGTGGGTGTCGTTCAGCTCTGATATGAAGGTGTCCGCCCAAGCCTGTGGAAGTTGTGGAGAAGGTGGCGATGCGGTAGCTGGGAGACCGGTGAAAACATACAGGCGGATAGTGGTGACGAGCGGCACTCGAGGGATGCGAAAACCGACAGGACGCCGCAAGGTGGTTGTTCTTGGCTGGGTGCACGAGCGGCCGAGGTGAAAGCGCCATGGTCGCAGAAGATAAGAGGGAAGAGTTGACCCGAGCAGCAGTAGAGCCGCGTGCCTGCGCCGTGTGGGTGGCCACGTGCATGTAGTTCTGCCGATGCCGCTCCCGCCGCTCCTCTTCGCTCATCGTCAGCGCGTCCTCGATGGCCTGGCCCATGACACGCAATGACAGCGAGTGACGTCAGCTTTGGGTCTGGCTGGGCCGCTATCATGGCGCCGGGTGGAAGAGGTGGATTGCTCAACCTCTGGCTACAGGCTTGCGTCGAACAAGCGCAGTAAGAGACAGGCGCCGGGGAATACGCACCCACACGTGCGCGCGCACGCATGCACACGCACCAGCACACACGTACACGCAAAACACAAAGCAAACAGAGAAAAACACACTCACAGACCCATGCATACCATACACACACACGCGCAAACACACACACACACACACACGCATGCTGCCCCGCCCCCTTCTTGCCTGCGCCACATCAGCCACGTTCCAGGGGTTGACCAATATGGCCCCCGCCCCCAGGCTCTGCGCCGCGCCGGCGAACTCCGACAGCACCAGGACGCCCGCATTGTCTGACTGGCAGGCCACGTACTCATATGACACCAGGTTCATGCCGTCGCGCAGGCTGTTGATGAGCGCCACGTCTGGGCGAGCGATTATGGGGGCGGGGTGGGGGGAGGAGTTGGAAGAGGTTTGGTGAGGAGGAGTAAGGAAGAGGTAGGGTTTTCAGTGCGCCGCAGTTGGGAATGCGGAAGGTGGTGAGTGCCGGCTGGCAGCTTTGAAAGAAAAAATGGGAAGTTGCATGAAGTGCTGTCACACTTGCTTGCAAGGCACAGCTGCCTACGGTCATAGCTTAGCGATCCTCCTCGACATGTTGGCATCATGACTTGAATCAAGCAGCCCAATCAAACTTGGCCAAGCCTCAGCGGGGACGACGCACAAACAGCAACATGATTATCAGATTGGAACGCATCCACCACAGTGGCCACAGGCATTTCATCAAACGTCCAACACCCGGTCAAACTCGGTCAAACTCCGCACCAGTGACGGCGTACAGTGCACACAGCTCATGGAAGCTGAGCTGGCGGTCCAGGTGGTGGATGGGCACGTAGGTCAGGGTGCCGAACGCGCCGTTGATGCGGCCCACGATCTCGTGCACCATGGAGCGCAGCCGCTGGTACTCGGGGACGTCTGTGCGGCTGGGGACAGCGATCTGGGGGTGGATGAGAAAATTGAAGGGCAGAGCGTGGTGAGCAGGGGTGCAGGGGTGGCAGAGAGGTGATATGAGGAGTGGTGGCGCTGCCAAAGGGATGCGCCTTAGAATAGAGTGTCCGAAACAACAAGGGACGTGGCTGACAGGGATCCTGGTCGCATAGCATCGCATGGACCCTCGACCGGGAGGCTGCCGGCAGGCCTGTCGCCGTCCCCTGACTGGTAGGTATACTTGTGTCTCAGCAAGGGCGTTGTAGGCCGCCCAGGAAGCTGCTTCTCGCCGGCCACCACTGCGGTGTCTGTGCCCATCTCCCTCTCACCTGCACCAGCAGCACCTTGTCGCGCCACTCAGGGTGCTCCTGCGCAGCAGAGCCCGAAGGAGGTCAGGCGGCTGCACATTATAGCAAGCACCGCTGGACCCACCAAAGCTGCAACTTTGTCCCTTGAGAGCCACCGACCAGCCGCCCTGATGGTCGCACTCCCGGACCCAGATGTCCCGTTTCTGCTATCTAGCCCAAACCCATAAGATCCTGGACCGAAGGAAAACCGCTGGCGGGCGGTTGCCCACCTGCAGGAACTTCTCGAAGGCGAGCAGCTTCTGGGGGATTCCCTTGATCATGTCCAGCCGGTCGACGCCAAGCATCACCTTGCGCCCCGCATACCTTGGAAGTGGGTAGGTGGGTCAGGGGGCACGAAGGCGGGCGGTGCAAGCGCGGGTTGGATGAGGGGCACAGGCATGGCAGCCACGCCCTGGCTTTGGCAGCTGGGGCAAAGCTGAGTGGCCCGGGCAGCCTGACAGGTCGGTTGCCGTCCCCACCCCAAACCGCCACACAACACACACACCAACACACCTTCCTAAATGCGGATGCACCCAGCCAATCCTTCAGCATTGCGCCACAGCCCTGCTTATATTGCCTTCCAGAACCCCACCTGTTGAGCAGCTTGGCTATGTTGCCCTGTACCTCCTCAGCCTCCAGCGCAGCGGTGAAGCGCTCCGGATCAATGCCTTGGGTTGAAGGAGGGTCGGTCAAAGTCAGTCAACACGCGGTCAATGTGTAGTCAAAGTGCGGCCTCAGTGCGGTCAAATACAGTCGGGCACACTGAGAAAAGTCAGCTGACACAGGTGTCGAGGACGCTTGGAGGCGTGATCACGAACGCGGTGGTGACACGGGGGCCGAAGGCTGGCAACACCGTGAGCGGCGCACTGCGGTAACCCACCGATAGGGAACGCGGCGACGCGAGTTATGCTGCCGTTGTCCTCGACCCCCTCGGGGGTGCCCTCCAGCCCCAGGATGCGCGTGCAGCTGCTGATGAAGTGGCGCGCGTAGTCGTAGGTGTGAAAACCTGGGAGGCGGTCGTTTTGGGGGGGTGGAAAGGTACCGGTCAACACATTTGAATGACAAACAAGGAAGAGGTGGGCACGGCAAGCAGGCAAAGGTTGAGACTTGAATCTGCCTGGAGCACAGCTCACCACAGCGCCTCCGCCTCGACGCCTTGCAAACCCGCAATCCTTACTCCCCTGGATCTTGAACTGCAAGCTACCAACAGAAGATCGCCCACCCATGAGGTCAGCCTTGAGCACCGCGCGCATAACGTCCCCTACAAACTGCCAAACCTTGAACCCTGAAACGCATGCGATTTTCCGGTCAAACATACCGAAATTTGCCCACCTATGAGGTCGGCCTTCAGCACCGCACGCAGCACCTCCTCCCTGACGGGCAGCGTGCGGTAGATCTCCGAGGAGGGGAATGGCGTGTGCAGGAACCAGCCCACCTGCAGAGGATTTTTTTAAATTGGGGTTGAGGGTGCGGCACAAACGTGATCTTGCTGGCCGCAGGCTTCGGACGCAGCAAGCAGCATTGGAGTGCTGAATCCAAGGATTGCCCCAAGGGAATCAGCAGGAGACGCTGACGAGCTGGTGCGGCTGACAGACAGGTCAAGACTGGTCAACCCCGCTCCCGACGCGCCCCGACCCTGCCAGGGGCCAGCGCGCGGCGTGGGGCCCGAGCCCGCCGCCCGCCGCGCGCCTTCATTTTGGGGTGCCCCTGCTTGAGCAGCTGCGGCAGCAGCATGAGGTGGTAGTCCTGCACCCACACCATGTCCCCGCCTTGGTAGTGCGCCAGGACCACCTCCCCGAAGCGGTCATTGGCTGCCGAGTACGCCTGCCGCGGCGGGGCGCGGAGGGGGCAGGCATGGCGTCGCCGCGACAGTGCACGTAAGAGACAAGCCAACCAGAGGCAAGCAGCCAACCAGAGGGGTTGATTAGAGCTACTGCCTTCTAAGTATTGAGCAGAGCTAGCGGGCCAACTGCCAATGTCAAACACGCTCATGCTCCGACGGCGCAACGCGGCCTGCCGTGCGCCCTCTACACAAGAGCAGCATTCATCGCCTGCCCAGCTGCCCGCTGCCCAGCGGCCCGCGAGCCGCACATGCCGCAGCTGCCGCCCAGGCTGCACGTCGCGCCCGCGCGCGCGCGGCGCCGCCGCAGCGCGGCGCGCGCACCTGCCACTGCATCTGCATGGTGTGGTGCTCTGTCATGCGCTGCCAGCCGTCCATATTCAGCGGGACGTAATGGAACAGCTGCCACAGCACGCTGTTGCAGAAGCCGTTGTAGTAGAGGTCGAGCAGCTGGGGCTCCAGCCAGACGGGCACGTAACCCTCCTTCTGCAGCATGGCCGCCAGCGCGTCTCGGTCGCGGCCCGGCCTGACGTAGATGCCTGGCGCGGCGGCGGTGGCGACGGCGGCGGGGACGTGTTTGGTGGCGGCGCGGGTGCATGCGCGATCGCGTGTGTGGAGACAGCAGCGAGCGCATGCGCACGCGCGGGCACGCGTTCGTGCGCATGCATGTCCACGCACGCATGGTGAAATTGTGCGCATCAGAAGTTGGGGCGTGAGGACAGAGCCTCAGAGGCCCGGCCCTTACTGCAGACGTGTCCATGCATCTGGCGGGCATCAATTGCTTGAGGATGGAGCGGCCGACTCCAACCAATGGGCCCGCAAGACGCAGCGGCACAATGCAGCGCAACCCACCTGGCCAGCCGACCCAGAGGGTCGTGTAATTGCCGACCCCCATGAGCGCGCTGACCAGCCCGCCCGCGCTGATCTGGCGCGAGGGGCGGCGGGCGCGAGGGCGGCGGGTTGCTTTGCGCCGCACGAGGCGCCTTTCGGGAGCTGCCGCGGCCTGCATGGGCGCCGCATGGGCACCGCATGGCGCGTGCTGGCACTCATGGGCGACGCGCTCGGCAGACAGCGCAGGGTCCAACCACTGCGCGGACCCGTCTGCGGCCGCCACGCACGCCCTCGTCCCGCGCCCGTGCCGCTCGAGGGAGCAAGCCGTGCTTGCCGGCCGGCCCATGCGCAAACCCCTCCGCATGGCCGCCGGACGCCCCACCGATGCCCGCGCCCTCGCGCCGCCTGCTGCCCCAGCCCCACCCGTCCTCGCCGCTTGGGTGGGTTGCCCCCTGCAGCAGCCCACGGCCCCGCATGCGCCGCACCTGCAGCCGCCATCTGCCCTGCGGGTCCTTGGAGCAGGTCACTGGAAGCCGATTTGCCACCACTATGAGCCGTGCGTTGTCCAGGGGAGCGTGCCGGCTGCGGGCGCCATGATGGGGTGCGGCGAGATGGGCAGCCGCGTGGCGCCGGAAGGGGCCGAGGAGCTGCGGGGTCGCAGCGGCGCCCCCAGAACGCCCCCCGATACAGGTTCTAGGAGCGGGGCTGCCCTCGCATGTGCCCGTTCATGCCGCGCTGCTGTGGGCGCCGCGGCGAGGTACCGGCGAGGGGGGCAGCTGCAGCGCGCCCTGCTTCCCGCCACGCCCACCTGTCTACCGGCACCATGTCTTCCCAGCCATGGTCCCAATCCTCAAAAGTCTGCAGCTCCTGAGTGCTCCGACTCTTGCGGATCCGCTCCCGCAGCAGGCGATCTGCGGCCGTGCGGCGCAGGGCGTGCAGGCGGGGGCGCGGAGAGGCCTCGAACACGCGTCCCTGCAATGCTTGGGCGGGGTCGCGCGCCGCGGCGGGGCGGGCGGGGGCGGGCCAATGGACGTGTGCGCGGCGCAGCTGCGATTGCTCTCACCGACTCTGGACGATGGCACGGCCCTGCCAGTGGAAGGAGTGCGCGGTGATGGCGTCCCCTGCCCCGACGGCCCACGTCCCTCCGATGATCCAGGCACCATGTGACTTTATATGAGGTTATATCCGAGTCACTCAGGTTAATCGACGGGCTGCATCAGGCCCGTGAGATCGCCAGTGGCATCCTGCATTCAACGCCTGGATCGACTCATCGACAGTGTATGCAGATTATGTGTCTCAGTAATGCACAGACAATTGAGCCTTACTGAGCCAAACAAAAACACCGCCTACACTGGGGGGTGCAATAACTGTGACTGTTACTCATCGACAGCTTTTTGTCGCACCCAACTGCAGCGGCGCAGCGAGCCGCAGCCACAACAGAGCAACGGATTGCCCTGTTCAGTCCTAGACACCTCTGCAATAGGTGTGGCTTGGCCCATAGGACAGGCTGTCGCCTGCCTGGCCGTTCCACAGGACGACGCAAGAAATGCCAGCAAGAACCCCCCACCCAGCCATGCGAAATGCAGGTCGCAGCAACCCTTGGTAATGCACACTATGCATGCTAACCAACGTAAGAAATATCAACTGCCGACAGCGAGCCTATCAAGCAAGCAAATGCAGAACCAGGTGCCTGTGGGCGCCACCAACCTGCAGCCGCGGCAAGCACGTGCGCAGGTGCCCGGCAGTACACACACCCGCCCGGCGTGGCCGGCCGGCCGCCCGGCGTGGCCGGGCCCGAGGCCTCAGATCACGAGAACACGCACTGGTTGCTGTAGCAGTCGCTGTCGCTCGAGCAGCTCAGCTGGCCCATGCACGGCGCGCACGAGTTGCCGCCGCAGTCTGTATCCGTCTCGTCCCCGTTCTTCACGCCATCGAAGCAGCTGGCCGGCGCGCACTGGCCCCCCACGCACACGCTGTTGTAGCAGTCCGTCTTGACCAGGCAGCCCGCCGAGTCGCCGCACAGGTCAGGGCAGCTGCCGCCGCAGTCGACGTCGGTCTCGGGGCCGTTCTGCACGCCGTCGTCGCAGGCCGGCACGGCGCAAGTGCCCGTGGCCAGGCAGATGCCGCTCTTGCAATCGCTTGCAGCGCCGCAGGCGAGCGTGTCGTTGCACTTGGTGGTGCAGTTGCCTCCGCAGTCAAGGTCCGTCTCCGCGCCGTTGTTCACGCCGTCGCTGCAGCTGGGCACCGCGCACTTGCTGCTGGTGCAGACGCCGCTGGAGCAGTCGCCGCCGGCCGCGCAGCCGCTGAGGTCGGCGCACTTGTTGGGGCAGCTGCCGCCGCAGTCGACGTCAGTCTCGTCGCCGTTCTTTACTCCGTCCTTGCACGTGGGCGCCGCGCACTGGCCCACAACGCACACGCCACTCTGGCAGTCCTTGCCGACGGCGCAGCTTAGGAGGTCGCCGCACTTCATGGCGCAGCTGCCGCCACAATCCAGGTCGGTTTCTGCTCCATTCTTCAGCCCGTCGCTGCAGCTTGGCACGGCGCACTTGCCGTTGGTGCACACGCCGCTCTGGCAGTCAGCTCTGAAAATGCAACCCTTGAGGTTCGCGCAAGCAACCGGGCAGCTGCCGCCGCAGTCAACGTCGGTCTCGGCGCCGTTTTTGATGCTGTCGCTGCAGCTGGCCGTCGCACACTTGCCGCCGCTGCAGACGCCGCTGGCGCAATCAGCCCCGGCCGCGCAGCCGGAGGCGTCTGCGCACTTATTGGGGCAGCCGCCGCCGCAATCAACGTCGGTCTCATTGCCATTCTTGAGGCCGTCTGTGCAGGTGGCACCCCCGCACCTGCCTCCGCTGCAGACATTGCTGGTGCAGTCAGAGGCCAGGACGCACATGCGGGTGTCGGCGCATTTGGTGGCGCAACTGCCCCCGCAATCGACATCGGTCTCTGCTCCGTTCTTCACGCGATCGCTGCAGCTGGGTGCGGCGCAAGCTCCGGACGTGCACACGCCGCTGATGCAGTCTGCCCCGGCGAGGCACTTCTGCCGCACAGAACAATCAATAGGGCAGGTGCCGCCGCAATCAACATCCGTTTCCGCTCCGTTCTTCACGCGATCGCTGCAGCTGGGTGCGGCGCAAGCTCCGGATGTGCACACGCCGCTGATGCAGTCTGCCCCGGCGACGCACTTCTGCCCCACAGAGCAATCGATTGGGCAGGTGCCGCCGCAATCAACGTCGGTCTCCGCTCCGTTCATGACGCCGTCTGAGCACGTGGGCACCGCACATTTGCCGCCGCTGCACACGCCGCTGGCACAGTCAGCAGCGGTGCCGCAGCCCTTCAGGTCGGTGCACTTGTTGGGGCAGCTGCCGCCGCAGTCAACATCGGTCTCGTTCCCATTCTTGATCCCGTCAGTGCAGCTGAGGTGGTATGATTGCGAAAGAGCTGTCAGGCAGATGCAAAGCAAAGGAATGACACACCTGCACTGCGTGACCGCAATCAGGGCAGCGGAGACCTTGTGCTCCCTGCAACCACTCCAATATGCAGGCATAAGGAGTTCCTTGTTCTGCGCCCTCCCCGACAGAGTCGCCTCCTGTGTGTTCCTAAAGCTACATCAGCGCACAGAGCGCAGCACAGCACTCTCACCGGGTAGCACGGTGCATAGTGCACTAGGACCCACCTGGATGGCAGCTGCGCCACGCACACCCCGCCGTAGCAAATCCTGGACGCGCAGTCCCACATGCTGCTGCACCGCTGCCCGTTGGCGCAGGACTTCTCGCACACTGCCGCTCCGCAGTCCACGTCCACCTCAAGGGGATCTTTCACCAAGTTCGTGCAATAGGGCGCGGCCCTGAGAGGTCCGAGTGTGTGGCGGGGTGACCAACGTCAGTGGCATATGCATGGATGCCGCACCAGCCGGGCCGATGCTCACAAAATCTGGCCGCCCTGCACACAGCCGGCAGGCTGGCTTCCTCAAATGCAGTGAGCTGTTGCCAATTGTTCGTTGCCGCACAATCCATGACAAAACGCTCTGAGCAGTCCATGCTTCGTTTGTCTTGGCAACCAACGGGTCCAAGACCCGCTCGTGCGTGTGCGCACCTGCACACGAGGCTCTTGCAGGTGGCTGAGGCGCAGTCGGTGTTGTTGTTGCACGCCTTCCAGGTGTTGCACTTGTTCTTGCAAAGCCCGCCGCAATCCACGTCCCCCTCGACGCCATCTTTGACCCCGTTGGTGCATGTGCTGGGCTGGTCGCACTTTCCTGAGTTGCAGAGGCCGCTCCTGCAGTCGCGGCCTGACGCACAGGCAAGGCCGTATGTACAGAGCGCGCTGCAAGCGGCGCCGCAGTCCACGTCGGCTTCGGCCCCATCCTTGATGCCGTTGGTGCAGGTGGCGGCTGCCATACACTTGCCGCTGGTGCAGATGCTGCTGCGGCAGTCCCAGGTTGTGGTGCATCCCTGTGAACAGTGGGCAGCCGCAACGAGGGTGGTGGTGCTGTCCAGTCAAAGATGTCAGGATGAATCTGCATATCCATCAAGGAGCCCGAGTAGAAATCAGGGTGCCGCTTGCAGTGCGTGAACGGCCAAGAATTATCTCTTTCGCGATTGACGAAAATCACCTGACCGACAGAGCACGCAAAGTCGCAGCCGCCGCCTCCGCAGTCAATATCGGTCTCGCGGCCGTCCTTGATGCCATTGGTGCAGGTGAGCGCCGCTCGGCAAACACCGCCGACGCAGTTGTCGGACAGGCAGCCGCTGTTTGATGTGCACGCCTTGCCAGTGCCGACCTGGGCGCGCGCAACGGCCACCAGACTGCGGGGGCGCGAAGCCAGGGAGAGGTGGGCACGTGACGTGGTGCTGCTGGCGCTGCCCAATGACACTGCAGTACTGGACTGCCCGGCGCCTGACCGCGCATCACCCTTTACGGAGTCACCTGTTCACAAAAATCCAGCGGCAACCAACGAACTTACCACCCGATCGCGATAACACGTGCCCACACGCCGGCAAGCCCCGCTCCCCGCCTCATCGTGTTGGTCAAAGCCCGACGGGCGCACAGATGGGAGCGAGGCTGGATTCTCGGGCCTGACTTTATCAACGTACTATAAAGTCCGCACGAAATTCTTTGATTGCTTGCCGTGATGGGCTGGCGCAGAGCCCAAGTTGGAGTGCCCCAAAGGCCAGTTGCTGACTGCAAGGATCCTCGAAAAGTTGCGGTACTGTAGTGCATCACAAATAGACGGATCCTCGTATCGTATAGACAGCGGATTGATCAACTCACTGCTGGGGTCCACTTGTGTCACTCGGACGGATTTCAAGCACCGCACTGTTTTAGAAGCGCTGTGATCCCTCATTCTTACGGTATTAATTGTTATGCATGTTGCTGGATCTCGAGTCGCGTTCACCCTGCTCAGATCTGACGGGGCAATACTTTCTGTGCAACCTGCGCGATGGCTGCCGCCGCTTCCCCGCGCGGTGAGAGCGCACTGATGCATTTCCTATACCTCCATGTGCTGCAGATCGTATCCACCTGGTTTGACTCACCGGCGCGCAGGCGTCCAGGCGTCCACCTGCCCCGCGCCCCCACCTGCCCCGTGCTGCAATCACCGCACCACCGCGCGGGGCCTAGGGATCCACCGCCCTCCGCGGTCCTCCCAACCATGAGCCCCCTTGCACATCACGGCCCCTCGCAGGGCCCGCGCCGGAGTCGAGCGAGGAGCACGAGCCCCGCGACTGGCGCGTGCTGCGCGGCGCCATGCACATGCTGTGGCGGCAGGGCAGCGTCATGACCCCAGTGGAGGCTCTTGAGGGCGTAAGCGAGTGGGGGGTGGAGCGGTCAAAGGCCCTCTACAACTGCAGCGGCTGGGGGGCGCCGTACTTCTCCATCAACGAGGAGGGGCACGTGGTCGTGCGCCCCAAAGGTGCGTTGCATGGCATGTGGGGAGGCATGCAGGGCGCATGGGCGCGTCCGTCCCATGGGGGTATGGGTGCATGGGTGCATGGCGGCGCAGCAGTGCTGGGATTCACATGCGCTGTGTTTCTGTGCTGTTCGCTTGGTCGCATGGGCGCGTACGTTCGCGCAGGACAGAAGGCAGGGGACCCCGCATGTTGCTCGGGCGGGACCCACCTACATTCAATCACGCCCGTGCACGCCATGTTGCCCGATTGCTCAGGGCCTGCGAACTAGGCGCCGTGACTCGCACCCTGCCAGCCCTCGCGTCCACACACCCCCTGACAGACCTCGCGCTGCGGCCTTTCTGCCCTCAACCCCTGCACACCACCCCCAATCCCAAAATCGGCGTTGGCCGCCAGGGGACGACAGGGAGGTCGACGTTTTCAGGCTGGTTCAGGAGCTGCACGCCCGCGGCCTGCGCACGCCGCTGCTGCTGCGCTTCCTCGACATCGTCGGCGATAGGATCGAGCGCCTCAACGTGCGGCGGCGCGGGAGCAGCGCGGCGCCCCTGGGCCTCGTAGATGGGCGGCGGGCCTCCCTGCTTTGCTCAGAGGACAGCCTGTGCTTGCAGCGGCGCGCCACGGGCTGGACGCGCCGCTGCACCCACGGCGTGCAGGCAACACTTGCGCACATTGGGACGCGGCCAGTGCTGCTGGGTGTCAACCAACCTGGGACCGATTGGCTGCAGGCTGGTCCATGCCCTTGCCGGGGAGCGTCGCCGGCCTCGACCCCTGGAAAACACGCCCGCACGCCTCGTCTGCGCCCGGCCGCCTACTCACACCCACCTGGCAGAAAGCGTTCCTGGGGGCCATCGAGCGTTTCGAGTACCAGGGCGCCTACCGCGGCGTCTTCCCCGTCAAGGTGAGGCGGCGGAGCCATACCCCGACGGGTTTGTAATCTCCAGTATCACCCCTAAGCTCCCAGTCCCCAGTTGCACCCACAAGGCCGCCTGCCTTGCTGAGTTTCCTGTCAACTCACAGCCGCATGCGCGGACCGCCAACGTCCGGCCGCCGCAGTGCAACCACGACCGGGACCTGATCCGCTGCATGGTGGAGCACGGCCGCCCCTACGGCTGTGGCCTGGAGGTCGGCTCCAAGGCTGAGCTGGCCATGGTCATGTCAGTCCTGGCCGACGTGCCCGGCGCCAACCTCATATGCAACGGTGGGCGCCGGGCTGGCTCGCCGCCGCGCGGCCGCGCCGGGGTTGGCGGCTTCGATTCCACAAGGGCGCCTCAGCGGGTTAGAGGCAGGCGAGGGCGCGTGCTCGGCCGATTACCGTACGCAACCAAAGTGGACCTGCAATCAAGTACAGAAAAGTATAATCATCACAAGAACATGCTTCTTGCTGGCCCACTGCAACCACGTGCTCTTACTAACCGCAGCGATTAGTCGCTCGGCATGCAATCACACCCTGTCGCATCAATGTGCCATTTGTCCTGCGACGACTCACCACTCTGTGCAGGCTACAAGGACACAGAGTACATGGAGATGGTGCGCTTGGGGCTGGCCGGGTGCACAGGGGCAGTGAGGGTTTGGGATACTGCAAATCAGTTGTCGGCGTGCGACCCCGCCACATATGCTTGCGACCTGACTGGGAGGCAGTGATATGGGGAGACAGCTTCACAGGCCCCAGTGGGCAACCGCGCGCCGCCATGCCTGCTTCCACCCTCGGACTGCGTTTTCAAGCGCTGCCGTGTTGCAAACAATGCGCAGTACGGTACACACACATGCACACCCGCCATGAACGTGCACACGCGTGCACGCACACACGCACACACACACAACCCTTTGACCCTGCAACCAGGTTCTGCACTGCCGCGAGCTGGGCATCAACGCGCTGGTGGTCATGGAGCAGTACGCGGAGCTGGGCATGCTGCTGGACGCATCGGCGCGCCTGTGAGCGGCGCCCTGGGTTCGTCTCCTGCGTGTTGAAATCCGGCAGTGGTCCTTCGCAAGGGTTGAATGCAGAAAATGCCAAGGGCGGCCTCTTTTGTGGTGGATTGTTCCGCGCCCGTCATTTTCAAGACCAACGGTTGGACGCCTCGCCAGGTTGCCCGGGGCCCGCCACACAGCAGAGGACTGCAGCGGCCGCACCGCCGCCTCGGCAGCATCCAACTGCACCCGGAGGCCAGTGATGGCTCTCCTGTGAAAGCCTCAGCTTGCGCTTCGCGGCCCTCGTGTCGCCTCCCTTCCCCCAGACACACACTCACACATGCGCGCGCGCGCACACACACACACACACACACACACACACACACACACACACACTCACATACACGCCCCCACCACGCACGCACTCCACCCTCAAAGGGGCGTGAAGCCGGGCATCGGCATCCGCGCCAAGCTGACCACGCAGCACCGGGGCCACTGGGGCTCCACCTCCGGTGCGCATTGCCCCCGCACGCCGGGCGCCCCGCGGGGGCCCGCTGCCGCCTCAAGACAACGCCTTGTGGACCAGCTGTTGCCCCTGTCTCTGCTCTCTCACCCTCATGCGGGTGCCTGGATGAGTTGATCAAAGCCTCACGCATCACCTGCAGCTTCTTCATCCACACTATCCACACTATCCAACAAATCTTTGTCCAATACCCTCAGGCGACAAGGCCAAGTTTGGCCTCAAGGCCCGCGAGATCGTGGCGGTTGTTAACCGCCTGCGCAAGGATAAGCTCCTGGACTGCCTGCAGCTGCTGCACTTCCACTCGGGATCTCAGATCACGTCGATCAGGGAGGTCAAGGAGGTCATGAGGGAGAGCAGCTTCCTGTATGCTGAGCTTGTGAAGGTGAGGGGGGCAGGTCAGGGACACACGGGATTGGTTTTTGACTCACATTGGTCCCAAAAGGGTGGCCCCGACCCCTGGCGGGATCGTCAGGGATGCTGTGAGTTGTACTTGCACGCGTGGAAAGCTTGCAGTGCGGGTACTTTTTGCGCGTGCGTCGAGACTCATGTTTGTGTGCGAACACGTCCGTGTGCACATGGTGTGGGTGAGCTGGTGGGGTGGGCATGGGGGACGGGGTTGGGGGCGCAACCACAGGCGCCCCAACTCTCCTCCAGACGACATCCTCAATCCTGCCCCGTCGACCACGCGCGGGCGCGTAACACAGGCTACCAGAACCACGCTGCTCCGATCACTACATACCTCGGCTC